TCATCTGAACTGAACTGCTCAAACTGCCGGTAGCCCTGGACCTTCGGAACCTGCTCCATCTTCTCCAAGGACCAGTCTCACTTAAGTATGCAAACCTCCAGAGCTTCAAACAGGGCTGATGCTGTCTTATCTCTCATGTGGACATGACTCAGGTGTTCACTTATTCTCATAATCCTAGATTCATCCAAATCCACATCCAAATTTATCTTGACACCAAAGTTAGTGTAGGTTAATATGTTAGAGCATATTCACTCACTATCATTAACTTGAGTGCTCCTAGTCTGACTTAGAATCTTTATTTATTCACCGATTATTATTTATCCTCATTATCGTATCATTTATTGCATGTATGTTGTACCATCATTTATTTTGTAAAATACAGATCCTTTAGTTTTCTAAGTTCTTGTCTGTTAGTGTTCTTCCAGAAGTGGAGTCCCTAAAATGAGAATTGTGGCTTGAGATATGAGATTGATTAATTTAAGATTGACATACTGTTTGATTTCTGAATTAAACTTTTGTTTTTCTTTATTTTTCTACCATTAAAGGTGGTGCCCCTTTCAACGAGTGCATAAATGTCATAATTTAAGATTATTAATCTTCAGACAGTTATTAAAAATTCAAATTGCTACACTGTGATTGTGTACGGATGCATTAGTGCCCAAGGCATGGGGGCGGCAGTAGCTCAGGAGGTAGAGCGGTCGTCCAATAACTGGAAGGTTGGCGGTTCGATTCCCCCCTATCCCAAGTCTGTCCGTTGTGTCCTTGGGCAAGACACTTAACCCACCTTGCTCCCAGTGTGTGTCCTCCACTGGTGTATGATTGTGAGTGCTGTGTAGTGGTGGCCGGAGAGGCCATACGCAAAATGGCAGCCACGTTTCCGTCAGTCTGCCCCAGGGCAGCTGTGACTACTAAGGTAGTTTACCACCACCAAAAGTGTGACTGTGTGACCGAATGAATGATGTATCCGATGTCAAGCGCTTTAAGGGTCTCTGATAAAGCGCTATATGAAATCTGATGCATTTTTTTTTTTTTAACTTACACATCTGTGAAGGCAACATTAATGCTTAATAGTACATACAGGTTTTGGAGCAACATATGCTGCCATCCAAGCAACATCTTTTTCATGGACGCCCCAGCTTATTTCAGCAAGACAATGCCAAGCCAAATTCTGCACGTGTTACAACAGTGCGGCTTCGTAGTAAAAGAGTGCGGGTACTCGACTGGCCTGCCTGCAGTCCAGACCTGTCTCCCATTGAAAATGTGTGGCGCATTCTGAAGCTTGAATCTTGGTAAGATAAAAAAAAAAATCAAATCTTGGTAAGATTTTTTCCTGATGGCACAGTTTTAAGAGAAAGAACATTTGCAATAAACAAAGTTGAAAAATGGTTACAGAATGAAACTTGTGAACAGGAAAATGCTCAACAGAAAAGATGTGACAAAAAATAAAAAATGATGAGAGAAATTGTGATTGGGAGGGGGTGGAAAAGTTGCAGAGAGAACGTACTAAAGACTTGAAGACAGAAAGATACAGTGGATACCAAACTACTGTCAGAAATAAAGATGCAGGCAGTGGGTGCATGTGGGGAATTGACTATCATCATATCCTGAGGACAATGTTGAGAGGAGGCTTGTGCTGGCTGTCTTGAAAATAATGAAATATACAGCAGAGGAGTGCAAAGTGACCTGACTTGATCTCTGCAATCTGCTTCAAGCTGTTCTACATGGAACTGAGAGGACCAAACAGAAACTTCTTTTCAAGGGATTAGTTTATGTTGAAGCTCAAAACAAGAGCTCTGCAAAACGTTGAGGAGTAGGCAAGGAGAAGATATAATTTTGTAGAGTCAGATGGAAGATGTGTGGTCACAGGATGTTTGCTCAGGGTTTGAATACTTGAATACTCTATGTGGATAGAAAAGCTTCAACGATAAACTGCCTTTGATAGAGATGACTGCAACCACTGTTCACTTATTTTCAGAATTAAAGAAACAATGCATCACTAGCTCTGTTTACATTGGCAAAATTTCTTTTTTTGATGATTTGAGGATTGGAAAATCTGAATCCACTGTTTATATGGGCGCAATATCAAATAAACTGATGATGGCATTTGTATACATACACCAAGTTTTATTCAGATTAGAGGCATTTGTACATGCGCAGAGTGGTCTGATTTAGCTAAAACAACCACAGGAGAAGAGTTGTATTTACGCATGTGCTGTCAACAAACCAACAAACGCAATAGTGGCTAACTTCATCCAAGTCATGATTTTCCCTCTGTCCCACATCACTAGATGGTGCCCTTGCTTACTTACTTTACTGTTCTGTCAAAGGCTGCATTGTGCATGCAGATGTGACATCATTACGTTGTCCATATGCCTTGTTATGTTAATGGAGGAGCAGACATGGCACCTGTGGTTGTGTTTTATGCCAGAGTGTTGATAATGACACCTACTGTACTAACCTCAATAAATAAGCCAAAGGCTAAAGGGATCATTGGCACCACTGCGCAGCTGACTCAGCAGAGCAGATGCGCATTTATTTTGCCGTTGGACGATCAGTTACATGGAGGGAACCCTGTATGTCCAGGAGATCTGAATGGGCTTTCCTTCTGAACAGCCCGCAAAGTCTTCAGGTGCCTGCAGAAGATGGCATTACTATTACTTTGTCGACCTTGCGCAGGCACCTGAAGACTTGGGGCTGTTCAGAAGGAAAGCCCACTCAGATCTCCTGGACATACAGGGGAAATGATTTGGCCAAAAATCAGGGAAAAATTACTCAGGTATACAGGGAAAAAATTATTACCTAAAAAAACGGGCCGAAAATTAATTACTCAGAAAAGCCGTTTGTTTTAAACTCAAGTACATACAATATGCTTCCGTATCACTCGAACTGTCATCATTATTATTAAAGGAGTTACTTTCCAGTAATCACCAGTTGTACACTTTGCTTTAAATGAGGCAAGTAGAAGTGCATGTTACTCAGGAAATGTAGAATATAATTATCTGCAAACAATTATCCACAATGTGTGTCCGTGTTGTCTAATTAATGTTTTTCCCCATGTCATCTTTTTTTAATCTATTTTATATACACTGCTCAAAAAAATTTAAGGAACACTTTTTTTTATTGCGCCTGGCATGAGATCAATTAAACCTGTCTGATAATTATCTGTTTGGTGAGGCAGCAGAGGGCATCGTTAATCACTTTCAGCTGTGTTGGTATTGATTGAATTAACAACAGGTGCACTACAGTGGCAACAATGAGAAAACCCCCAAAACAGGACTGGTTTTACATGTGGAGGTCATTTCAAGTTTCTCCCTCTTGATCTTTTTTGGCTGGTTTTCCACTAGTGCTGGTTTTGGCTTGAGTCATTATCACTACTGGCAGTCTGATGCGATTCCTTAACCCTACAGAAGTTGCACAGGTTTTCCAACTCCTCCAGGATGGCACATCCACACGTGCTGTAGCAAGAAGATTTAATGTGTCTCCCAGCACAATCTCCAGAACATGGAGGAGATTTCAGGAGACTGGCAGTTATTGTAGGAGAGCATAGAAGGTCCTCAACCCATCAGCAGGACCGATACCTGCTCCTTTGTGCAAGGCGGAACAGGCTGAGCACTGTTTGTGCCCTACAGAATGACCTCCAGCGGGCCACTGGTGTGAATGTCTCTGCCCTAACAATCATTAACAGACTTCATGAAGGTGGCCTGAGGGCCTGACATACTGTAGTGGGCCCTGTGCTCACTGCCCAGCACCATGGAGCTCGACAGGCATTTGCTCGAGAACACCAGAATTGGCAAGTTCACCACTGGCGCCCTGTACTTTTCACAGACGAGAGCAGGTTCACCCTGAGCACTTGTGATAGACATGAAAGAGTCTGGAGAAGACAAGGAGAACATTATGCTGCCTGCAACATCGTTCAACATGACAGGTTTGGTGGTGGGTCAGTGATGGTCTGAGGAGGCATATCCATGGAGGGACGCACAGACCTCTGCTGGCTAGATAATTGTAGTCTGACTGCCATTCGGTATCAAGATGAAATCCTTGAACCCATTGTCAGACCCTACACTGGTGCAGTAGGTCCTGGGTTCCTCCAAATGCACGACAATGCCCGGCCTCATGTGGCAAGAGTATACAGGCAGTACCTGGAGGGTGAAGGAATTGATCCAATTGTATGGCCTTCATGATCCCCTGACTTAAACCCAATAGAACACTTCTGGGACATCATGTTTCGGTCCATTAGGCACCGCCAGGTTGCTCCTCAGACTTTACAGCAGCTCAGGGATGCCCTTACACAGATCTGGGAGGACATGCCACAAGACACCATCCGTAGTCTCATTAGGAGCATGCCGTGACGTTGTCAAGCATGCATACAAGCATGTGGGGGCCACAAAAGATATTGAGAAGCATTTTGAGTTGCAGAAATGAAATTTTGAAAAAATGGACTAGCCTGCCACATTATTATTTCACTCTGATTTTTGTGGTGTCTACACAATTAAGCCCTCTGTAGGCTGAAAACTTTTATTTCCATTAAAAGATTTGGCATCCTTTTGTTCCAAAGACATTGCCCTGTCGTTATTTGTATAGATATCCAACTTCACATTGAGATCTGATGTAACTGATGTGTTTCTTTAAAGTGTTCCTTTAATTTTTTTGAGCAGTGTATCTATCCTTCATAAAGAACAAACTTGTCTGGCCAGAGAAGGACCTGGCAGCAAGTCAAAATCAAATACAAGAACATTAGTGGTGGGCAAAACCAGTCATTTCAGTGAACCGGATCATTCCGGGTCGTTCAGTAAAAAGACCCGTTCATTTCGTTCTTTTCAGTCATTTCGGTCGGTCATTTGTCAGTCCGCTCGTCGTCGTCGACGTCCCCCCCGCGCGGTCCGACGCTGTGACCGCTGCACTCTCCACTTCCCACCCCCGGTCCAACGCTGCGATCTCACTGCACTACTTGTAATATAAAATTATAGTAGGAGTAACAAAATATATAAGGTTTTTAATGCTTTTTATTATTTTGAGGTGCATTAAAAACAATAATAAAAAGTACAAAATGTCAACAGACAGTGCAAATGCGTATTAATAGTTGTCTCTCTGCCTCTGGCTGCAGCAGCAGCTGTGTGCCTTTGCGTGTGTGTGACTGTCCCGCTCGCTCCGGCTCGGCTGTCGGGCCTCGTGCGGCGGCCAGTCAACTCGGTCTTTCAGTCAACTCGTTCATCTGTCTGGATCTTTCGTTCACTCGGTCTTTCAGTCAACTCGTTCACCATCTGGATCTTTCGTTCACTCGGTCTCTCGTTCAACTCGTTCATCCGTCTGGGTCTTTCGTTCACTCGGTCTTTCGTTCAACTCGTTCATCCGTCTGGGTCTTTCATTCAACTCGGTCTTTCGTTCACTCGGTCTTTCGTTCAACTCGTTCATCCGTCTGGATCTTTCGTTCACTCGGTCTTTCGTTCAACTCGTTCATCGGTCTGGGTCTTTCGTTCAACTCGGTCTTTCGTTCATTTGACCCGTTCTTTCAGTCAACTAGGTCTTTCGTTCATTTGACCCGTTCTTTCAGTCAACTAGGTCTTTCGTTCATTTGACCCGTTCTTTCAGTCAACTCGGTCATCCCGGTCTTTCAGTCAGCTCAGTAGTACTGCTGCTGCTTCTCTAAGCCCCACCCACACACAGAACGAGGCGCGACGATAGGATAAGACAGGCAAGCAGTCCCTCTTCAGCCAATCAAAAGAACTGAACGGATTGAACGGGTCATTTAGGGGGGGAGAACTAGTTCATTTTGTTCATCAAAAAGAACTAGTTCTTTTGATCCATCCGTTCAAGACCGACACACCACTAAAGAACATTTTACAGGCAGGTAAGTGACTTTAGTCAAGATAACAATGAACAAATGCGGTGAATAGTTTAAGTGTCTGCTGACATGTTGAATATCTGTATAATTGTAGCAGTAAAAAAAAAGCCCATAAAAGTGGCATGGGGGGCGGCCCACCAAGCCAGGATTTCACCCCAGCGGAGGAGCTGGCCCTCCACGCGAATAAAGAGAGGCCAGTGGTGGAGGGGATCCAGGGAGGGACGGCCACAGACTGTGTCCCAGCAACACAAACTGGCTGCTTCATACAAGGTACATATTGCAGTACGACTGCACATGAAACACAATTAAATAAATATATTATACTGTCTGACTTTGGATTTCCTTGCAGTGTCTGGGAACACACTGACACTTTTGGGAGCCACCAGAAGATGATCCGGTTAGAACATTTGATTAAAATCACAGGCTTGGCATGTCCTGTCAAAAATCTTCAGAGAAGATATGCATGTATGTGTATGGCAGGGGGAAGGCACTTCTGCAGCGGCGGGATGCACTTCAGCAGATGAGGAGAACATCTCAGTAGACTCCAGAAGGCATGAGGTACCATGTCAATTTTTTGGAAATATCCTGATTTATTTAGTCCATTGAGGTCAGTGATTTGATGCTAATACAAAATAACATGTGTCACAGGACCCAGACTCTGCACAGCCTCCTAGGCAGCATGGTAGTGGTGTGTCGGTCATGAACGAACGGATCAAAAGAACTAGTTCTTTTTGGTGAACGAAATGAATGAGGTCACCCCCTCTAAATGATCCGTTCAGTCCGATCAGTTCTTTTGATTGGCTGAAGAGTCAGTTCACCGTTCCTGTGGGCGGGACTATCTCCGTGCTTGCCTGTCTTATCCTATCGTCGCGCCTCGCTCTGTGGGTGGGTGGGGCTTAGAGAAGCAGCTGCAGTACTGAGTTGACTAAAAGAGCGGGAACGATGCCCGACTCGGTCTCCGTCTTTTCAGTCAGCTCGGTCTGACCGAGAGATTGACGGACTCTCAGACTGACTGAGCACAAGCATTCACTCTCTGCGAGGTGCTGTTAGCCTGTCACTAGCCGACCAACTTGTGAACGCAATGGGATGAACTGAATAAACTAAACTATAAGGCAGTCTCTTGCAGGGGGTATCTGTACTCACGAGTCCAACAAATAGTGCCACGGCCGCTGCACCAGCCAGAGGCAGAGACTCACTAGCAGAAGGTTTAGCATGCTAAGCTAACAAACAGCGGTTGATAAGAGTACGCGGGGTTGCTTGAGGCAGCCAGATGCGTTTGTCCAGCAAAATATCCCAATGCTGTACGGTGTCTGTGTACAGACACATCTGTATTCAGACACCATTTGAATTAGTACCAATGCGTAATGTGCTAGCCTAGCTATATAGCTTGGTTTAGCTGGGTCAACATGCCAGTGTTTTGGTGTCAGTGACCCTGTTACCTGGAGACTTACCTGGAGAAAATGCGCATGAGATTGTCCCAAGTCCAACAGCTGTTAAATACGTATACTTAGATATCTCTGTGTTTTGAATGTCATTAAAGACGTATCTGTTGGAAATACTTGATGTTATTGTCACAAAGGGAGCTAAGAGGCTCTCGTTCGTTTGGAGTCTGAACAGATCTCCCCCTGCATAAACCCGGTCAGCCGTGTCAAGTCAGTCTGTTCGCTCACGTTCACGTTCGTTTAGCATCTGAACGAACGTCAACATGAGCAAACGGACTGACTAACGACCAATTGACCGAAATGAACGGATCTTTTTACTGAACGAACCGGAATGATCCGATTCACTGAAATGAACGGTTTTGCCCAACACTACAGCCTGGTAACATTGTGAGTATTGGCTTAAATAAATCTACATTTTGCATAAATTGTGCTCTGCTAATTGATATTTATTTTACAGAATTCACAAACGGTCCAAGCTCTATATGCTCAACAGCTTCAGAAGCAGATCGCGCTTGCAGATTGCAGAAGAAACTGAGCTTGATCTAGAGATCAAACGCAGGACCCTCAGGAAATTGGACCTGGAGATCCAGAAACGAGAACGAGAAGTGAGTATTTCAGTGCATGCTATACCTGTTACACAGTGTATAATTATTTGTACTTTTGCTCTCTCTATTCCAGCTTCCAAACAACATGACTGTGAAATAAAAAGGAAAAAATTTGAAACATTGTGATGTCCTCTTTTTCATGAATGTGTAGTATACCATTGTCCGAAATGGCATACTGCTCCTACTACACCTACTAACCCCGCCTCTGAATTGAGTAGGCAGTACGTTCACACTGTACAGTATGCGAATTTTGTGTATGCGAGAAATGCCCGGATGTATACTCAATCGGCTTCGATTTCTGAGTGTGGAATGGAGCTTGCTTCACGTACTGCTTCTGCCCCACAATGCATTGCGCACCTCAGCTGGTAATATGGCCCTCTTTCCTGAGGCTGAAAAGAAATAGATGGCATGTGATTGCAATAATAATTATATATATATATATATATATATATATATAAATAGATAAACAATATTTAGTCAGTATACATTAAACAATTTTTATCATTTTATCATATTTTGATCTTTTTACTAGATTTATTTGTATTTTAAATTAGGATTATAGGTAATGTTTTTAATAAGGCTGTCAAAGTTAACGCGTTATTGTCGCGTTAACTCGAGTGACTTTTATCGCCACTAATTTTTTTGACGCACGATTAACGCAAGCCTTAGCCTGGCTTGATCAAACTATACACACACTGCGTGGATATTATTGCCGTTCTAAAAGGGTAGAGGAACAGTTGGTGAGGTGTCCAGGCTATGTGAGCCTCGGGGCACTCCGTAGTTTCGCGGATCAGGAAGTAGAGCACTGACTGATACCGCGGCAGACATAAACACATCCCTGTGAGCAGTAACTAGGATATAATGGATAAGAACACGATTTTGAACAGAAAGTTCAGCTACAAAGCCTTGCCAGATGGCTCTCTTGACAGGACAAAAGTCATTTGTGTTTCCTGCCGAGCTGAATTTAGTTACCACCGGAGTACGTCTAGTCTCAAATATCACTTGTCGGCCAAGCACACAGCTGATGCAGAGAGCCCCGCGTCCCCCCGCCTCCAGCAAACAACGCTGAATGTGCAAGGTAAAAAGATGGAGAGCTCTAATAAACGCAAACTTGAAACAGAAATCGCTAAATGGGTGGCTACCGCTTGTCGGCCGATTAGCATCGTGCAGGACGTTGGTCTGCGTGAAATCATACGGATAGCATCCAATGACTGGACATATGAATTACCTTGTAGGACCACCATTACCACGAAAATCCACGATCTGTTCTCATGTTGATTCTTATGTTGATAAAAGTATAACAATTTAAAAAAGATCGATTTAGAATGGATCAAAAATATGCGATCAATTTGCGATTAATCATGATTAATTATGATCACAATTCGATTAATCGCGATTAAATATTTTAATCGATTGACAGCCCTAGTTTTTAACTATTCATATGAACTGACTTTATTTATTTAAGTGTCTATTAAAGATGTATTTATTACATCAAGTTTGAGCATCTTCTCATCTCTGAATGCATCATCAAAGTGGTCACTCATATAAGGCACAGACCTCTGATTAATAAAAATTATTATTGGTAGAGAGCAGATGGTTCAGAATATACAAACGGGGGAGTTTCCACTTGACAATGTATGTGAGCTTTACTAATTCTTACTTGTGGTTGAAAATCTGATGGTTTCTGAAATTATCATTGTACATGAAAAGAATGTAGTCGGGAAATGATGTATTTGCCAAGGAATAACCGAACAAGGTCATAATAATTATGTTGTGTGTTGGTCATTTTGCAGCCCTCTGCTGCTCATCACACGCCTAGCAGGTGGTGTATAGCATTATCACCATGGATACACAGATGTTTGTGTGATTTTTTTCATCCACTGCCGCCCAGTTTGTGTCGTGTAGATGTTGATTATGAAAACACCTCACAATAATTTAGAAATGTAAAGGGGGAGCTGCTGCTGCCCGGTGTTTACGGTAAATAGACGCAAACACCCACCAAGCGGATGCTTCGGTCTCCGAAAACACCGAGACAAATTTACAAACAGCCACTATTTCAAACAACTGGGCTCATAATCGTGATGTAAACACTTACTTTCTCGCTAGAAAAAATATTATTATTGAGTGAATTTATATAATTTGTCCAGAATGCAGTCGTTCTGTGTAGCTTGTGGTAGGACTATTTAAATTTTCCCGGCGCTGCGTCCGGCCAGCACGAAATGCATTCTGGGGTATTTAGTATGCATCTGTATGTAAATGCTCGGGCAGCCGCAGCATACTCAAATCATCTTTGAGTAGTCAGTATGCAGTAGGTACTGCTTGAGTAGGTAAGTAGATAGTAGGCAGTATGCCATTTCGGACAGAGCCTCAGTCTTCCTCTCGAACCAAATCACTCTGTGCCTCTCGTGTCCTCCGGCTTGTGCCTCCAGTCTGCCTTTGTGGCTTTTGTAAGTTTGTTTGTCACTTTGTTTCAGTTGTTTTGCACTTTATAGTTCTAGTTTTTCCCCTCGCATTTTTCTGAGGTGATTTTCAGTTTGTCTTTTGTTTTCTGTTGAACTTTCCAGTTGACTTTATATTCCTTTTGTTACTTGCCCCACGTGGTATATTTCAGTTGTACTTTTAGTGTCAGAGGTTGTTTGAGTTTTTCTGTATTTTGTCCTGACACTTGTTTTTCTTCGTTTTCAGTAGCTGTCCGTGCTTCCCGAGCCTTTTTACCCTGTGTGGTGATTTTATGTTTTTTTTTTTCTTGTTGATATTTTTGTGAAACTTTTGGTGATTTTGTCTCCGCAATATTGGGTCCTGGCCTTTTGTACACGTAACATCAGGATCGGAATAAGTGTTTACATGGACACATTTCGGAATAACGATTGGCATACGATTTCTTTCTGATTGGACTGAATTGGATCAGAATCTTCCAATCGACATGTTAACATGATGTATTTTTGTACCAAATGGGCATTTATTCTGATTATTTGTGTCCATGTAAACACAGCTATTGATGTGGCCAGATCAGAAATTGCAAGACCAGACATCTGTCTTGGTCAGCTGTTGGAGCAAGCATGTAACATTTCCCTCTGAGGGACTGTGAGAAAAGCATTAAAAAAATTATCTACTGAAGTTGGTGGCAAACAGTCGGAGGCTACAGGACACTGGGCAGCTGTAGAAAGAGGTGCTGCTTAAGATGTTTCCTGTAATATCCTCCATCCTTTTTTGTATGAAAGTTTTGAAATACTGAAGTGAAAGTAAGCATTAAACTTAATCACATGTGCCTATTATGATGCAGGAACTTCAGTGAAAACATCTTGGCCCTTCTTCAAAGTGTTTTTTTTTTTTTTTTTTTTTTTGTCAGAC